AATTCTGTATACCAGGCTAGCCTCGAACTCACCGAGATACGCCTACTTCTGCCTCCTAAGTGCTGGGATAAAAGGCATATTCCACTACTTGGCTTTGTATGCAGTTTTTAAAAGCCTTAAAGAAATTGGGAGTGTAGCACAGTTTTGAATGAGAAGAGTAAATAATGTAAAGGTGTCAATTCACTATAAAATGACCTGTAAGTTTGATGCAGTCTTCACCAGAAACTAATAGGTAATTGGCAATTAGAATTTAAAAGTTATGTTGAAATGCAAAGGCTAATAATAGCCAAGAGATTTTGTCTCTCTAATACCTTAGTTTTTTAACTTTTAGTTTGAAATAATCATAAACTTAAAAATTGGGTAGCAAAAGAAGCACAGAGAATTCCTATATGGAATTAGATTTCTCTAATTTTAGTAACTTGTACAACCATGGTTCTGTTTTCAGAAATTTTATCTCTTTTGTCAATAATGTCTTTTTCATATCTAGAATCCAATCTAGGATCCTATATAGTATTAGCTGTCATGTAGCCTTAACATATTCTAGCATATCCAAAATACCTTTACAGTGTTGTATAAGGTTGAATGCAAGCAGATATAAATGGCAAATTAAGAGATAATCAAGTTTAATAAATAACCATGTTAAAGGAGATCTGCAGAGAGGATGATGAATCATTACCACTTCTAGATCAGAAGGAACAAGATGGGAGAACATTTACTAGACTAAAACATTATTACTGTAGGAAGGAGTCATTGGACCACACCTTGAACTTAGCAGAAATGGAGCTTCCTCTCAGCAGGAAGAAAACCAGAGATTTTAACAACCTTGATTCACTCCTCCTCTCTAATCTTCTAGACCTGATTAGAAGCTAGAGGGTAAACAGACTCAGTGATAGAAATCATCAGTGCCACGTTGGTGTCAGTGAGGAGGCCTCGGAATCTATGGAGCCTTGGGTAGTAGACCAGTATTTATCTCTGGCACACATATGGACTTTGGGAGCCCACTCTACATGGAGGGATGCTCTCTCAGTCTGGACACATGGGGGAGGGCCTAGGCCCTGACTGGGAGACTTAGGAGATCCCCCATGGAGGGCCTTACCCTCCCTGGGAAGCAGAGAGGGGTTGGGGTGGGGGTTTGGGAGGGTTGGTGAAGGTTAGGGGAGGAGGGGAGGGAGAGGGGCTTGGGACAGACATGTGAAGCAAACTTGTTACTAATTTAAAAAAAAAAATTGAAGAAGACCCATCTAAAATAAACTAAGCATCAGAATGAGTAAAAAAAAAAAAAATCAGTGCCAGTCTTTTGCATCCCTAAGCAGGATAGAAAAGCTATAGCTTAGTAACTGTATCTATTGGAGAAACCAGAGACTAACCAGTATACTATATTCATATACAATTAAATAAACCAGTAAAACAGAACAGTTTTATAACCAGACAGATTATAAATTATCATAGAGTACTAAAATTAATTCTCAAGACATAGTACTGTGTCATTTAAATGTTTTACAGGGAGGAAATTGATCCCTTTTTTACATCATGAACAAATCAGCTGATAGTCTAAGCCAGGACTTCCGTTTTAGGGGTGCAATGGGTAGTTGAAATCAGTTCTTGCCTTGTATCTCTGACTCACTTGGTAGTCAGTAATGCAGCTCATACTAGCTTTAAACACTTTTGCCTCAGCAACCTCAGTGCAACATGGTGAGACATGTTTATAAACAAACTAGTAACATTAACCATAGGAAAAACTGTAATTTCTTAAGAGGCTCATATAAATATAATCTGACCTAGCATGCCTGCATAGGTTATGTGCAAGAATGTTTTGTTTGAGGTGGTATTTGGTTTCTGATTGTTGGGGCCGGGGTGGGGGTGGGGTTGAATTTGTGTATGTTGTTTTGAGACAGGACTTTACTCTGTATTCCAAATTGGTCTGGAACTCACTATGTATAGGTATCTCAGATTTGTCTCAAATTTACTGAAATCCTGTTGCCTCAGCTTCCTGAGTGCTAGTATTACAGGTATTACCTGTTACAAGGCAACACTGTTTATTAACACTATGCATTTGAGATTATTGTTTTGATGTCATACTATGTATCAAACCAGAGTTACACACAATTTGAATTTGCTGTGTGCTGCTTACTTTTGATATTTAATCATCTATTAGTACTTTATGTCCCAACCTAGTAAGAGATTTGCTTAGATATGTATCCTATGTCTTTTTCACAGGATGTAACTTTGTTTCTGCCAGAGTGGGAAGATGGGCATTTCTACCTTGCCAAGTACTATGACAAATTGATGCCCATGGTAACAGACAACAAAATGGAAAAGCAAGGTGATCTCATCCGATATATAGTCCTGCATTTTGGAAGGTGAGTATGAGTACTTCATGTTTGAGGTTAAATATGGATGAATTTTATCACACACTATAGCATATTCAGAACATTTTCTGTTTTACCATGCATGGATTCTTTTCTACCAACTTAATTGAGAGAGAATATTTTTCCTTCTTTCTAATGTTTAGTTTACTTTTATTTTACATGTATGAGTGTTTGCCTGCTTGCCTGCATCTAAGTATGTTTACCATGTGCATGTGCATGTGCAGTACTCTTGGAAGCCAGATGAAGGCACCAGATCCCCTGGAACTGGAGTTACAGATTATTGTGAACTGCTTTGTAGGTGCTGGGAACTGAACTTGGATTCTCTGTGAGAACAACCAAAGCTGAACTATTTCTCCAATCCCAGAATATTTTTCTTCATACAGTTTTTTTCTTAGTCTTGAAAAATGTTCTCTCTCTCTCTCTCTCTCTCTCTCTCTCTCTCTCTCTCTCTCTCTCTGTCTGTCTCTGTGTGTGTGTGTGTGTGTGTGTGTGTGTGTGTGTGTGTGTAGAAAAGGTATATGCAGATACAATTTTAGAAAATGAACAGTACTGTGCTGCAGATATAACTTAATAGCAGAGCACTTGAATAGCATGTTTAACAACAACAAATGCTGGACATGGTAATAACTATAATACCAATACTCAGAAGGCTGTGACACCCATCCCTCAAATCACTACATATAGTACTTTAGAAGGCCTTAAACATAATCTGTTTATTTGTTAAATTTAATGGTAATTCAGTATTTTCTCCTAGTCAAATCCTGTAAAAAAAAAAAATTAACAAATAGGGTCATTATTTTGAAGACTAAAAAAGAGCTTGTTTCTTTCTTAGTTTGCTTTTGATAGTCTTGTTATAGCTCAGGCCATTCTTTATTCATATTCCTCTGTCTCAGTGTCCTCAGTGCTAGGATTACAGGAATGCACCACCATGCTTGTCAGGGGCCTATTTTTTAACTAGTCAGAGGATGAAATACAACTTTTTGTTTTGTTATGTGAGATGGGGTATTATGTAGCCCAAGCTAGCCTCAAACTCACTGTGTAGCTAAGTCTGGACTGAACTTCCCAATCCTCCCAATGTAGTTGGAATATAACTTTTAATTTCAGATGCCAGTACATACATACTTGCATACATACATACATACATGTATATATGTATGTGTGTGTATGTATGTATATATATATACATATATATGTATATATATATAGTCATGCTTAGTATTTAAAATTCACAAATTATTGATTTGAGTAATGGCATTTCATAATTCTCCTTGTATTCATGTGCTCTTATTTTCTACTGAAGGATTATAACTTAACAGCAATAAATTTACTAAAATTCCTTATTTTCATGTTTTATTAAACCTCAGTTAAATTTTTTTTCAGTGGTTAAAGCAATATTTATCTACCCCAAAATAGAATAACAACACTTAGCCAAATTTATTTTTCCTGAAGAAATTTCAATTTTTGTGAGATCTAAACTTAATTTCATTAATTTGTTTCCATAGTTACTAATAATTATAAATATTATTGGTTTTCTTAGTGGCTGTGTTATTAAAGAAGAATTCCTGGCTTGTTGGCATTTTGAAATGGAACAAGAAACAAGACAATTATTAATTGAATTTTCTTTTTTTTCTTTTTTTTTCAATCTTTTAATTTAAATTGGAAACAAGATTGTTTTACATGTCAATCCCAGTTCCCTCTCCCTCCCTTTCTCCCCTGCCCCCCACTAACACCCTACCTATCCCCTACCATTTCTGCTCCCCAGGGAGGGCGAGGCATTCCATGGGGGGGGGTCTTCAGAGTCTATCATATCCTTTGGGATAGGGCCTAGGTCCTCCCCTGTGTGTCTAGGATGAGGGAGTATCCCTTTGAATTTTCTTTTCTAGAATCAATAATGAAACAATTTTTTTCTTTACTCATAGTTATGTATCAGGCCCTAAGTATACAGAACATACTCATTGCATTTATTAAATCACACTTCAAAGAAGGGAAGCTACTTTACATTTATTTTGTTTTGGCTGTTACTAGTTTTCATTGTTGATGGTGATTTTATTTGTTTGTGGTGGGGTCATGCCTGTATAGCCTAAGCTGGCCTCTCAGTCTGTTTGTCTTAGTTTCCTGAATGCTGGGATTATTAAATGTACAGCACCACATTTTGATTATACGGCATATTTACAGCTGCAATACTGAAAATTTTGATATTTTTATACTGGTATTTAAAAGTTTTTTTACTTAGATTTCCTCATTTATTTTATGTACCATGTATGTCCTTGATGCCTATGAAGGTCAGAAGAGGGCATCAGATCCTCTGGAAACTGGAGTTATGAATGATAATAAACCACTATGTTGGTGTTGGATATTGATCCCGGATCCTGGGTTCTCTGCAAGAGCAAAAGTGCTGTTAGCCACTGCACCACCTCTCCAGCCTCTATATTTATGTTTTAAAGGAGTAAAATTAGCTATTATGATATATTCACTTAATAACTGAATGTATCTTAAATTATGTTATTACTGCTTTAGTGTGAATGTTCTCAAAAACAGTTTAACTAGGGAATGAAATCTTAAATATATAAAACCATTTACCTATGTAATAGGATTTGTATGCAGATATAAAAATGAATGATTAAAAATTAAAGACTTGCCTGGCAAGAGAGATATCATAATTATAAATATCATGAGTATCAGGAATATGGTTTTCCTAAGATATACTCTAGATGTGCTGACCCCATGGTTTCTCCAAATGTGGGGAAACCCACTGCATAATGTGTGGTAGTGGGCGTTTACATTTATGCTTCTTTCTGGGAATGGATGGAGATATTATAGATGGAGCATACCAGAAATAAAGCAGACACATGTAAAAGTTATATACCTAGGGGAAGTCTGTGGTTAAAAACTCAAGCTACTTGCTTCATGATTATAGATATCTGTTTCATCATCAGCTGTAAAGGAAAAAAACACAAAGAAAAATGCAGAAATATAATTTCCCAGAAATAGAATGCTTAGGCCTGACCAAAGCTTATTGCCATGGAATACAAATGAAAATACAGATTGTAAAGATTATAAGGACCATTTGAAGGACGCATTTAAAGACTTTGACTAACCCTCAAAATATCTATAATTTTTAATGCTAACAGAATACTTTAGCAAGAAAAGATGAATGGAGGGGGGATGACCTACTAGGAAGAAATGTCAGTACCATTGTTTCAGGGGCTAGCGGGTAGTTTGTAGGTTGTTTTCGTGAAGCCCCAGGTTTGATAGGTTTGATAGGTGGCACCAGATAAATGCCCATGTCTGTAGTCTCTGACTTAGGAGATAGAAGCAGAGAATTCAGGGTCTCATCCTCCACTACATACTTAGTTCAAGACCAGAGAGATGGATAGGTGGGTGATACCATAGTTTTTGTCAGAAGGTTGTACATAACTGAATGGTAGTTTCAGATTTTAATTTTAATTAAATTAATTAATTTAATTTTAATTTAAAAAGTTCTGTGCTAATTATATTTCTTGTTTATATAATTACAGATCTCTTCAGTATGGAAATCAGTTCATATATCAGTCAATGCCACGAATGTTATCACTATGGCTTGATTTTGGTGCTAAGGCATATGAATGGGAAAAAGGTATAATTCTTTATGTAAAAACTTTAAAGCACTAGGAAGAATTAAAACTTTGTTATAAAATAACATTTGGCATCACAATCTCTCTTAATAAAAACCAGTAATTAGCGCTGGGCGTTGGTGGCACACGCCTTTAATCCCAGCACTCGGGAGGCAGAGGCAGGCGGATCTCTGTGAGTTCGAGGCCAGCCTGGTCTCCAGAGTGAGTGCCAGGATAGGCTCCAAAGCTAAACAGAGAAACCCTGTCCCAAAAAAACAAAAACCAGTAATTAATTTGATAATTAAAATGTTATAATATTAAAGATATAGAGTAATAAAAGCTACATAAATATGGAAAATACACAGAAGAAAAAAAATGTTATAATGTTGTAAGAAACTAAGTGTTGATGCTGGAGAGATGGTTCAGCAATTAAGAGCTCTTGCAGAAGACCTTAGTTTAATCCCAGCACCTATGTCAGGCAGTAGATCCAAAGCTTCTGTCCTCCACAGATACCTGCACTCATGTTCACACAAACACACACACACACACACAAAATTGAGAAATAATAAAACTAAATCTTATGGAAAGAAAGGGAAAGATAGACTTTTAAAGTACTTGTAATTCAGAAATGAAAAGTGGTAGTCTTTTCAGTTCTTGATAACCCTAACACTTTGCAAGATGTCAGGTTAAGCATGTAATTTACCCTCAGATTTACAACGGATGATAAACAAACACCTCTTAAACCTAAATGCTTTCCCTAGCTACACAAACTGTCTTTCGACAGTGAACTAGCTATGGTCATGCAGATAATTTACTTTAAAATCGGTTTAAAATTATCACTTTTTTTTCCCTGTGAAATGAGTTGATACAGTGATGTTGAGGTTTTTGTTGTTGTTTTCTTGTCTTAAACTTTTTTTCCCCCTTAGGTGGTCGTTCTGATCGTGTGCAAATGAGAAGTGATTTGGCTAAAATAAATAGTGTTCTCACAGAGCACACAAATCGGTTAGCTCCGTATCAGTTTTTGACTGCTTTTTCACAGTTGATTTCTCGAATTTGTCATTCTCACGATGAAGTTTTTGTTGTCTTGATGGAAATAATAGCCAAGGTATTTCTGGCCTACCCTCAGCAAGCAATGTGGATGATGACAGCTGTGTCAAAGGTAATAAATTCGTTAGTTAATTACCACAGTGTCTCCTAACACTTATTACAGCATATATTTTTAAAGCAAATATATAAATATAAGTTCCAGGGTTCTAACCTATATTAAGATTATAACTTTTAAATACTTTCTAACAGAGAAAAGTTTTACCTTGTTTAAATATTTTGAGATATTTACCATATGAAAAGAAGTGACTAGTGCTGAACATGTGCTTTCTTCATGAAGCTTTTAGTAAATAGTTATGATAACCAGTTTTTTAAAGATTTATTTTGTGTGTATGAGTATTTTGCTTGGATATATGTCTGTGCACCTCTTGCATGCCTGGTGCCCACAGAGGTCAAAAGAAGTTGTTGGATCCATTGGAATTGGAGTTATAAGAAGTTGTAATTTGCAAGGTGAGTGCTGGGAATTAAACCCAGGTCCTCTGAGGAAAACAAGTGCTCATTATCACTGAACCATCTCTCCAGCCCTATGATAGATTTCTTTCCCTGAGTATTTTAATTCAGAATACTTAGTCTACTACTAAAACAAGGACAACATTATTAGTGGGTATGTATATATTAATTAGTATATTTAATGTATAAATATTATAGAAAAGTTAATACACAGATTAAAAAGAAAATTAAAATTCAGATTATTCATTAGTATTTTCTTGTAACTTATGTATTTTTCTAATCATATTTTAGCAGTAATTTTAAATTGATAACTTCATATTTTCACTTAAATATTAAATAATTAACTTTAACAGATAAATTGTATTAATGTTCTTTGAAGACACATTAGTAATTGGATAAAATTGTAAAATAGCTTTAACTGTTTTGTTTGTTTGTTTTACTTTCCTTTTTTCTGTTTTGCTACATCTCAAAATATCAATTGTTTCTTCAGTGTAAATTCTTCAGGGAATTCACAATTATAGGATTAAAACTTCTTTATAGCTCTTGATGTTACCAAACTGATTTCCTATATGCTTATCATTATAAAATCTCATCATGAATATTCTTTTAAGTTCATTCTTTCCAATAAGGTTTCATAAATAATTGTATTTACTCTTTTTTTTTTAACTGACAGTCGTCTTATCCCATGCGTGTGAACAGATGCAAGGAAATTCTTACTAAAGCTATCCATATGAAAAAGTCTTTAGAAAAGTTTGTTGGAGATGCAACTCGACTAACTGACAAGCTACTAGAATTGTGCAACAAATCGGTATTGTCACAGATCTTAGTGCTTATCAACCAGTGTTAAATAATGCTATACAAAAACTTATATGTGATTTGAGCTGATTTTCATTAAATTAAAATTTTTAAGTATATCAATATACGTGTATCAAAATGTATCAAATGGTTTATTTTAATATATCTTTTTCTATTCCTCTCATTCCCCATTCTTCATAGTACAACCTGATCTTGCTAAGCAAGGGTTTTACCACTGAGCTATACCTCTATCCCTATATGATTTATATTAGTAAATCTGCTTCTTAAACTTGTTAACATGTGTCGCTCTTCCAGATGTCCTCTACTTTTCTGAATTTTTCTGAAAATATATTTTAATAGTTATCAATGGTTTTAAGTAAAAGATTAAATCAACCATAAAATATGCATTAAATTCAGTCTCTGGTTATATTGCCATATTTTTATCTTTGAAAATTTGTATGTTGGCCTGTATATACGATGGGAAAGAGAATGTGGGGTTTTTGTTTGTTAGTTGGTTGTCTTTTTGTAGTGTTGGATTATTGAACCCAAGTCCTTATGCATAGTAGGCAAGCACTTTACACATGAGCTCTATCCAAAGCCCTTGATTTTCGTTTTTTCAGTATGTATTTCAGTGCACAGGCACTGTGCTGAGGGAACAAAGATGACTGATAGAAAGCTGCCTTGAATTACTGATAGATGTGTAGGAGCATAAGCAGATGTCTGTCATTTGGAGTAATATGTATTATTTTCAGTATACTTGTGACTGAAGTAGGAAGGTAGTTAAAGGAGTGGATCACTATTCTGTGCAAGGAATTAGGAAAAAACAAAACAATGTAGGAGAGATAAAAGTGTGTGGGTGATTGTTAAAGGGAGAGGTTCTTTGTCAGGTAAATAGCTAGTGTCACATGACAAATATCAAACTCCATTAACCATTTCTAGGTAGAAAGATACAGGTGACCCTATTTTTCTCCTCCTCATGAATAAACTATTCTCAAAAGGATAGTTTTTCATTATTTCCATTAATTCTACTTGATCTTTTATGTACTTGACGATAGGAAAAACGGTTATTTTTTGCTTACTTGCCTTGTAAGTGCTTTTCATATCACATGCTTAGTTCTTCGTCTGAAACCTTCATGGCAAAAACCACTTGTGATTCAGTTCTTTTCCTGACCTTAAAGGTACTCTTACTTTATATGGATTTTGTAACTGATGATAATCTGTTGGACTATCCCTTAGTCAAACACACATCACGTTGATCTTTACACTAAGAAATTCAGGTATCATTCTGTTGCCAAATGAGATTTGATAACCAAAAGAAGTTATTTATAGATTTTCTCATGTCTAAAAGTAGATCACTGATTTCTCCTAATCGCTAATCTCCTTCAATCATTACATATTCCTGTGATAGAGGAATTGTTATTTATGAAGAAAAGGTTAAATGAGATGATTAAAAGTCCTTCGAACATTGCACACTACAGAGCAATTGAGATTGTAAAAATTGAAATGTTTATTGTACTTAAAGTTTTCTAATTCAAGGTAAACTCAGAAAAATTGAAATATACTGTTTGTGTTTTTTTTTTTTTTTTCAGGTTGATGGAAGTAATTCCACATTAAGCATGAGCACTCACTTTAAAATGCTTAAAAAGCTGGTAGAAGACCCAACATTTAGTGAAATCCTCATTCCTTTGCAGTCAGTCATGATCCCTACTCTTCCGTCAATTTTGGGTGCCCATGCTAATCATGACCCATTTCCTGGCCATTGGGCCTATCTTGCAGGCTTCGATGATGTGGTAAACTTCAGTTTTATATAACTATAATTTTTAAATGTAGCTAAGCTTACAACTTCAAATTAAGCT